GTGTGTGTGTGTGTGTGTGTGTGTGTGTGTGTGTGTGTGTGTGTGTGTTTAAATGGTGTTAAATAGAAGTCTTTGAAACCTTTGATGTTTCCCTGCTATGGCACACCTGATTCAAATAATTACATTACATACCAGAATGCCAATAAGCATGCCCATCACTAGTTCATTTCAGTCAGGTAGGCAGGAGAACTGCTCGCCTCACTCCAGGCCTCTTCACAATTGCTTTATAGTTGCTGATTGCAGCCCCAAAAACATGTTTAAAACATATATACATACATCAGATAAACTGTGGAAAGTTAGGCATACGTATTTTAAAAGTATTTGAAACAATTTACTGGTGACAGAGACACCCATTCTCACTGTGTGACATGCAGCACAGTTTGTGAGGGACTGCACAATCTAAAGTGAGGTGCAGCTCACTGTGAAAGCACCAAATTCAGCAATTTCAAATAAAAATGTTTTCATTTTTTTAGTTGAATAGAAAGTTAGTTTATAGTACTAAGCACTAGATAAATATAACCACTTAATTTGATTTAATCAATTATGGCGTTTTTTCTTTCCATTATGGAAAGCTGTATATCACAGGTGCATACATGTCAACCCCTCAGTGCTGGCTCTAGCCATTTTGGTGCCCTAGGCGAGTTGAAGCGCAACCCCCCACCCGAACTATGTCCCACCTACCCCAATTTGAAGCCCTAAAAACAAGTTTGACAGTGTAAGGTACTATGGTAAACTTAGATTTATTTGCTTTCACAGAAAGCAATTAAATAACAACATACAAGTCAACTTGTACRGATTGTCAGTAAATGATAAGGATTTTACATCCGCTACCTGGGAGGCACTACTAGCCCCTCCCCCGTCAGAGTGTTGGAGCAGGACGAGTCAGTGCAACGTCAATCAAATGAGAGAGAGGGTGGGGGGCGATTGTTGCATTGGGGGATGGGGGAATGTTTTATGGGTAGTTTATTTTTCCTGTAATACTTCATTATAGTTTTTTAAGACAAAGCTAATTGAAAGGGGCGCTTAGCGGAGTTTCGACCAGGGATTACAAATAATTACTTTTTTCTTCTGCAGTTTGGCGCCCCCTCCAGCAGATGGCGCTCTAGGGGACCGCCTAGTTCTCCTATGCCAAGAGCCGGCTCTGCCACCCCTTCAGACGTTTATGTCTATAATGAGGCTCAAAAATCTGTAATTTTCACCAAAAAAATTTGTATTAATCACACGCGTGATGGGGTGCAGGTGTACTGTTGGCCAAAGAGATGACAGCACCTGCAGCGCAAAGCAGGAGGAGGATGAAATAACTTATTACTAGTGACAGAGTGGGCTGAAAGATGGTTATTTGTTGTTTTATTTTTTAACGTCCTACAGGTTCTGACATGTTAGATATATTTGAAACTGTGTTTTTGAAAAAACCTGTAAACTACATTAGTAATTGTAAAAAGATCCATGGCTTTGACCATTGAGCCCAATTCTCCCACTTGGGGCAGCTGTGGCAGAGTGGTTAGGGGAGTCGTCCTGCCAGAAGGTCACCAGTTTTGATCCGCCATTTCAGTCGTGTCCTTGAGTAAGACACTTCACCGACCTTGTCTGCCTTCTGGTGGTCAGAGGGTCCGGTGGTACCGGTGCAAGGCAGCCCTGCCTCTGTCAGTGTGCCAGTCTCCCAGGGCAGCTGTGGTTGTACAGTGGTTTGCAAAAGTATTCATACCCCTTGAACTTTTCCATATTTTGTCACATTACAACCACAAACATAAATATATTTCACTGGAAT